GACACCACAATGCAGAGTCCATTCTTCCTTCACACTTGAAAGGCTTTTTTTTGTAGCAGCTGTTGTACATGGTCGCACTAACAAGTGAGAGTTCTCACGCTGCAGTGAATGTATGGGGATTTGTGCACAACGACACAATGCTTGGAAAGAAAATAATTCGTATCTTCCCTCTATATATCATTATCAGAGTTTTGCACGGTCCAATGCTCCCTCTAAGCTGTGGAGTCTTGTGAGCAAAAATTCTACTTTGTGAGCTACTGGCATTAAAGTTGTGAGTGAGCGATTTGGCTAATGCATAAATTAGTTTGCTCTGGAGCCATCCTTCCTGAGCTAAGACAAAAATCTGTGAGCTGGAGGCTAAAAAACTGTGAGCTAGCTCACACTAACTCAGCTTAGAGGGAACACTGGACTCATGTAGTATTCCTTTGGTGACACTCGTGTGACTACAGAAGTATTGATGCATTTGCTCACATTACATCCGTACTCCTTACAAGGTATTGCTTAGCTGATAACTTATGTGAAAGTGAACAAAGAAGATATGTGGTATGGCATTCTTACAGTGCAATCATGTGCACACTTTCCTTTGCAATTGCCACTGAACACAGTGTTACTTACTTCTGAGAAAATATGCATGGGTGCACCTTGGTGTTTAGTCATGCCGGCCACATGACCACGGAAACATCTTCGGACAGCGCTGGCTCTTCGGCTTTGAAACGGAGATGAGCACCGCAACCCTAGAGTCGGATTCGACTGGCTTTCGAGCAAGGGAACCTTTACCTTATACATTCCATAGCAATGCCTACAAATGCCAACAGTGTCCCTTGAGATATTAATGTGGAACAGTGCTGCATGGTTACTCTTTTGTCATGTTGTTGTCATGTTGACACCCTGTGAGCAGTGTTCCCTCTAAGCTGAGCTAGTGCGAGCTAGCTCACAGTTTTTTAGCCTCCAGCTCACACATTTTTGTCTTAGCTCAGGAAGGATGGCTCCAGAGCAAACCAATTTATGCAGTAGCCAAATCGCTCACTCACAACTTTAATGCCAGTAGCTCACAAAGTAGAATTTTTGCTCACAAGACTCCACAGCTTAGAGGGAGCATCGATCCTGCTCAAACTATCCAAGAAATCAGTACCGTTGGTTGGAAAGTTCAAGCAATATTTAATTCAGGAGCTCCTTAGTGTAGGCTAGTCTCTGTTCTTTCCCGCCTTCCCTATCCCCTTCCCCCATCAGCAGTGATACTGGCCTACCTTAAAAGGTAGTCTAAATGTACTGTGTAAACACAAAGGGCTATTATTAAACTGATACATGATACCTCTCATCACTACAATAATAAGTTCTATATTGGTATAAAGATACTGATACAATCAAACCATACTGAAATCATTCCCAGTGCAGCAAATAAGCCATCATCATGAAAGCTAATTCATGTCAGCCCAAATCCTATTTTACAACAACAGTTTTTAAAAATGGAGGCTACTCTGCATTAGTGCTATAGTTTCTTCTATACAACTATCCTTATAATGCTGTAGCATTATGCTGTTCCTCTTGCATTGTATTAAATTTTGTAATTCACCTTGAGTCTCAGCAAGAAAGGCTGATTATAAAGTGAATAAATAAGAAAGGTGTAGACTGGATTTTTATTTTATTTTTTACTTATTTTCATTCATAATCCATCTTCATCACTGGGACTCCAGGTGGATTACATGTACAATAGGACTATTCGGCCTATCAATAAACTGATTACAAAATATAACATTTGAACAATAACAGAATCTAACAGCAACGATTCCTAGGAAAACAACATAATGCAGTGGAACTGGGACTGAAGAACTGGAAGAAAATGCACAGTACCCCTAATAACTGCCCAAGCTGATCCATTGCACCGCAGCTTTACTCCTCCACAAGAATGCCCTCATGAACAATTTTGTTTTGCGCATTTTGTGAAATGATTTAAGCATGTGGGCCTTCCTTATAGGCTCTGACAGACCATTCCATAATGTGGGGAACACCACAGAGAATACCCATGAACAGACCACTGTTGATTTTACCTGTCTGTATGGTGTCACCCTCAGAAGGCTTTGCTCCGATGAGCAAAGCTGTCACAACAGAACATAGCAGGAGAGGTGGTTCTGCAGCTAGGTAGGTCCAATGCCTTTAAGAGCTTTGTAAATTATAGCTAGTATCTTGTATTGAACCTGGTAACCGATCAGTAATCAATGGAGTGTCTACAGGAAGGGAGTGATATGCAGATACATCTTGGTGCCAGACAGTAACCAGGCTGTGGCATTCTGTATCAACTGTAGTTTCCAAGTTGTCTTTAAGGAAAACAAGTGCAGAGTACATTACAGTTCTCTGGTCTGAAGGTAGCCACAGCATGGATCCACATGGCTAGTCAAGTTAGGGAGCCATTTTTTGAGCTAAAGGGAGTTGGTAGAATACCCTTTTTGTAACTGCATCAGCTTGCTTCTGCAGCAATACAGCTGGACGCAGAATCACCCCTAGACTCTTAACCAAATCAGCAAGAGACAACTGTACCCCATCAAAAGCAGAGCGCACCATGCCCTTCGGGGCATCAGCCTTCCCAAAAACATTACTTCCATCTTGTCAGGATTCAGTTTGTTTACTCAGCAACAGCAGAGAAGCATTGTTTCAGAGACTCTATAGCAACACCAGGAGATTTGGATGAAGAAAGGTAGAGCTGGATATTATCAGCATATTGATGGCACCCTATCCCAGCACACTGATGGCTACTGTGCTGTGGCAGCCCCACAGAAGTATTGATGCATTTGCTTACATTACATCCGTACTCCTTACATGGTATTGCTTAGCTGAGAACTTCTGTGAAAGTGAACAAAGAAGATATGTGGTATGGCATTCTTACAGTGCAATCATGTGCACACTTTCCTTTGCAATTGCCACTGAACACAGTGTTACTTACTTCTGAGAAAATATGCATGGGACTATACATTCCACAGCAATGCCTACAAATGCCAACATGACAAAAGAGTAACCATGCAGCACTGTTCCACATTAGTGACACATGGCCACAGACAATCTACACTGTCACACATAAACATCCTTTTTCTTCAGATGCTGAAAGTTAAGGAAATGAAGCTCCAGACACTACATACATCAAAACCAATGGAAGCAGAGGGCAATGGTCAAAACCATAAATCACACCAGTGTAAGAAATCCATGCACAGAATGAAGAACAAGACTGCACTGAGTTACGTAATTCAAGGAGAAAAGCCTAAAGAATCAGTTTTCCAGAACTGTAGTGTATATAGATAAGTACAGAAAATGAGCACTTTGAAAAGCTCAGAGGAACTCTTGTCACTCAAGAACTCTGCAGGTCTACAATGATAGACTTGCACCACCATTTGCAGCCATATCTGTGAGAAGTCTGCACTAAACACACTGGGACTAATTTCCAAGGATTATAGGATTATTATCCTTTATATATAGGATTAGGTTGTCAGCAAACCACTTTCTCAAGCTGAAAACCCAGTGCTAAGGGTAACATTATTTAACAGTACTTTAATAAGGACATCACAAAGAACCCCCAAGGGTCAGGGTCCATAAAGCAACCACATATGAATAAAAGGGGCTGCCACCAGAAAGAAAAAATAATGTGCATTGGTGTCTGTAGATTCTTATGTTACACAACAAGTGGTTTTGAACTATGCCCTCTCTTTAGCATCCATCTTATTTCAATATTAAAGTGTCGGACCATCTGCGAGCACACTGGAAATTCTAAATCAGATGCTTTAAACACTCCAGTGGAAGTAACAGGATGAAAAATGTAGCACGGGTGGATTGAAAACCTGCAGTTGACAATATTAGGCAAGATGGCACACAATTCTGAAACACCCTTCTTTTGCTGTCTCCCTTTCCCAATTGCCTTAATAATATAGCATTAAATGAAATAATTATCATTATGGATTTTTAAATCCAGACCAGGAAAAATTCTTTTAGATATTTATATCCCACTTTTCTCCTGAACAGGGACCCTAACATCATCATCTGCTCTTCCATTGTATCCTCACAACAACCCTGTGAGATAGGTCAGGCTGAGACGAGATCTCCCAGGTCCTACTCCATCACGCTAACCACTAATCTCTTATGAGATGCTCTTGACATTTACTGCTATTTAAATGTGCCTGGTTAAAACACAAGCTGTTTTCAAATGGTAGTTTGCAGTCGAATATCATTAAAAACAGTGGCAATTAATTATTCATCATTTTCTAATATTACAGGGGGGGGACAGAAGGACTAAGTTCCGTGAGGTCCTTTATTTGCTCAAAATGAAATCAGCAGTTCCCAGTAAGATCTGACTCCTTGGATATGATAACCCCCCTGACATTTCCTACTTTATTATAGTGTCTTGGACCAACAACCAAATGTAGTTGTATGACTCTAATATATACAGACTGCTAAAATAAATGTTGCTACTTACAGTAGTAAAGTTCAGTACATATGTTTTCCTGAATCAGGGCCTAACTTAGCCGATCGGGTGCTGCATTTTCCAGGTGAGAGTAGAGATCTTACTTAGCAAGCACTTACGCTAGCAAAAGGCAGAGCCTGCAGCTGATCAACAAACTGGCAGTGCCATCCTAAACAGAGTTACACCTATCTAAGCCCACTGAATTCAGTGGGCTTAGAAAGGGAGTAACATTGCTTAGGATTGCACTGGAAATCACCTAATCAGGTGAATGGCTTTTCTTCCACATCTAATTAGAAGGGAATGGCTCTCAGTGATACCTGGAATTTATTTAAGAAACCTGAAGGTGCTGCTTCACTTTTTTAGAACACAGGCTGTCATGGGGGAGATGGTGTCTTTGTCCTGACTAATCCCCATCATGAAGATTCCTTGGGGGATACTTACCTGTTGTTGTATTGGACTGTTTTTTTCTGGTGTCCTGTGTTCCCTCGGTTCCAGAGATGAAGGGGGCTCTCAGCCATTGCTGGTTTCAGAAAGGGAAGCCTCTGAACCACTTCCAATGTTGTTGTTTCCCCCAGATGCAGAAAATGGCTATGCTGTGCTACCTCCTCTTTTCAAAGTGCTGACTGGCCACAGTCACCAGGAAGGGAATGATGGTGCCCCAAGCCCACAACCGGACTCCAGAGCTCTGAGCTACATGAAGAGGCTATATAAAACATTTGCAACCAAGGAAGGGATCCCAAAGGCTAACAGAAGTCGTCTCTACAATACAGTCCGGCTCTTCACTCCACACGCTGAGTGCAAGCACCCTACTGAAGGACAAGTGAAAGGTAAGTGAGACAGTTTCAGTTTGGGATTAATCTCCCCAGCCCCAGGTTTCCAAGTATGGAGCACATCTATTCTCCCATCTGCACATTTCTTGCTCCCGAAAACCAGTGGAATTATGATTAATGGTTCTCTTGATCTGCTTGAGTATAAAAAGCAGAGCCTAGTACATGTACTTAATAACTTTTAGAAAGGTTAGACACATACACACAAGACCTCACTTTAGAAAGGTTACTGGTGACCTTCAAGTAACAGTTTATCTGTCTTTCTCTAGATAATTCAAGGTCTGAATGTTTTGAAGTACACACCAATAGTATTTGGCCCTTTAAAGTGTCCATATACTAACATTATCTGAGGCTACCACAATGTGTTCATTCCATAGGCTTATACCTGACATTCTACTGAAACTGCATATGAGCATGGGGAGCTTGTTGGTGGTTTTGTACAACAGCTCAAAGTGGGGGGTGCATGTCCATGAAAACAGTAACTTTGGCTGTCATTATACAGCTCTGCTAGGTGTCGTTCATGTGTTGAGGCTTCTCCAGTCTTGCTAGCTGCTTGTGACTGTTACAGTACAGCCCAATTTCCAGTATACTTACTTAGAAGTCCCCTAGCTTCAGTGGGATTTAGTACTAATATGTTCAAAACTGGGGCATTAGTTGGGTATTTTAACCCAATTTGGAAAGAGCAATTAAAAAAAAAATTCATCTATGTGTCAAAGTAAGCTGTTATGGCTACTGAGAAAGCTGAATCCTAGGTTTTTCTTTTGTCTTTGCAAAGAGCTACTTGCCAGGAAAGTTATTGGCTTCTGTTCAAATCTTGCCTCATTTATATCACTTAGAAACTAACTGTGAATTCATCTGATTAACTGAAAGTCTCTTATCTGAGGTGGTCTAGATAGCAATTTCTATGCTGTCCATGAAGGTTACTGGCTTATTTTGTGTCAGCCCCCTAGCCTTCCTACTTGTGTCATACAAAAATTTGTTTTGAAAAGGGGGAGCCGCCATAAAGTATGTCATTGCTATGGTTTCATGACACATAGTACTGTTCTTGCTTCAGTTGTAAATATAACTCTAGCTGCAGTGATACCTTCATGTATCTGAAGAAGTGTGCATGCACATGAAAGCTTGTACCCAGAATAAAACTTTGTTAGTCTTACAAGGTGCCACTGGACTCAGACTTTGTTTTGCGGTTTCAGACCAACAGGGCTGCCCATCTGAACCTATCTGCAGTGATATAAATAAGCTAAAATATTTAAATTTGGTCAGTTTGAAAATGAGATTGCATAACTTGTGAGAACTGTAAACGGAAGGGATGGGGGACACCAATTCAAAAACAGAGGTTTGATTATTCTTATAAAGTTATATACTGGGCTAAAACTGCTGCCCTTTCCCCTGATGCAGATATATACATGCTGTTTGTGATGCTGTTAAGAATTCTTTACAATGGCTACCAACAATATGCTTTGGTGCACCCAGGGGCAAAAGGTTCATATTATAGTATGCAAACTACTCTTACATTATTGCTGGAAGAGGCTCTTCGCACACTCAGTATTAGTAAGAAGCAAGTGATGACACTTACGGGCAATAAGAACCAGTGTTTTCCTAGTCTAACAACCCTGTGAGGTAAAGCAGGTGAGCAATAATAACTTCCCCAAGTCTACCTTGTTACCTTCATAGGTAAGAGGAGACTGGGCCTTGCTGATCACACTGGGAGGGACCATCGCTCAGTGCCAGAACATCAGCTGTGTACACAGAAAGTTCCTGGTTCAAACTGGCATTTCCAGTTAAAAGGATCAGGTAGCAGTAGATGTGAAAGATTGTTCCCCGAGTCTCTAGAGAGCTACCGCCAGTCAGAGTAGACAGTACTGACTTTGCTATACCAACTGTCTGATTTGGTATAAGGCAGCTTCATTTGCTTAAGATATCTAACTGCTACATCACTGCTTCAAAAGCCAGCCATGGAAATGCTTTATTGTGAAGCTATTCTGCTGCCTTTTCGGCATTTGGTGGGGCTCTATTAAATAAATCATATCTGAATCCTAGCATGGTACAGCCAGTCATGTTGTGTGTGTGTGTTTACGTCTTTAGTATTTAGAAGTCTGGTTCAGTCTTTAACTGCTGGAGGCGGAGAGTTGCATGCATAATTTAATACTGGCATACCTGAAGGCTGGAGAATGTTAAGGAAGAGAATGCATTTTTGTGTCTCTGCCACTGACAGTAGAAAGCTCTTCAGGGCTACCACCACAGAACAAGAAAAGATGAAAAAACCAATAGTACTAGCAACAAATTGTTTCATTTATAAACCCCAGTGTGTTTCAAAGCAATTAGCTCTTCATCAGAGTCAAGAAGAATACCTTTCTCTAGAAGATCTGCTGTGTCCTAACTCTTGAAACATCCTTTGGCTCAAATGGTTTCAATTTGTCTTCTCCATTTAAATTAATGCAGATTGACTAGTTAAATTGCTTTAGTCCCTAAGAAGTTCTGTTTTTTCTTTTTTTCAGGAGACCTTCGCTCAGTGGATCTTTTTTTCAACTTAGATTGTGTTACTGCTTTGGAGCACTTATTCAAGTCAGTCTTGCTTTACTCATTGGATAAGTCAGTTTCTAAATCATCAGCCATTACATGCACATGCAATCTAGTTGTTAAGGAACATGATTCCTCCAATCAAGTGTGCTCCAGCATTCCACATACAATAACTGTTGAACTCAGACGGAGGTGGGTTGAGATTGACGTGACCACCTTTTTACAGCCTCTGATAGCCTCAAACAAGAGAAGCATTCATATAGCTGTGAATTTCACTTGCCTGAAAGATAATGAGCCCCTTGATTCTAAATGGGATTTCTTTAATATGGCTTTGGTATCACCTTCTCTTCTTCTGTATCTCAATGACACCAGTGAGCAAGCTTACCATAGGAGGGATATGAATCCTATATGGTCTGGGTTGAAAAACAGTCCTCTCATGGGTCTCAGTGAAGAGACAGGGAAAGAACCCACGCAGGATGAAAGAGCATCTCGTCATCGAAGAGATGAAGATGGGAAAGTGGAACATACATCTGTTCCACCGTATAATTTAAGTCACTTCTACCAACAGTTTCTCTTCCCCCAAAATGAGTGTGAGCTTCAAAACTTTTGGTTGAAGTTTAGCCAGCTGAAATGGGACCGATGGATAATTGCACCACATGGATACAATCCTCACTATTGCAAGGGCAAATGCCCAAGAGTGGTTGGGCATCGCTATGGCTCTCCTGTCCACACAATGGTCCAGAATATCATATATGAAAAGCTGGATTCCTCTGTCCCCAGACCACCCTGAGTTCACCTGCTGAATACAGCCCACTGAGTATCTTGAAGTTAGAGAGTGACAGATCAGTTGCTTACAAAGAATATGAAAATATGATAGCTACCAAATGCACTTGTCGCTAAAACCAGTCCGGTTTACTAATGCTGGTTGTTTCCGTATTTTTTTCAACCTTACGAGAAAGTTATTCTTCTGAAGACTTAGCATAGAGTACTGTGGCAGGTATTTCCTTGATAGTATTTATTCTTGTTAGCCCTGATTTACAGGAGGCTAAATGTGAAGTTGGGTATAAGGAGACTTCTTGTTTCCTTCCAAATGGATTTTTTTTTTTTGATGAATTGTGAAATGTTTTGGTTTAAAAAGTCCTATGCATCTCTAGATAGAGCGTAGGAGAAATAAATACCTGTCTTTTCATGCCATCTTTTGTGTAGTTCTTAGTTTAGTCTTTTCTATGTTAAAAATATTTTAAAAGAAAACAAAGACAAAATTTTATGACAAGTGACGAAAGGTTTTACTTACGACAAAAGGTTTTACTATTGCTGACTTATCAATCACTTCATTTTTATGTGTACTTTTAGTGGTTGAAACTGGTTGTCTGAGACAACTCCTGTCCTTTATTATGATGACTCCCAGATGTAAAGATTTTAAAGCAATGGATAACCTTTTGTCTGTCTCTGAAGGCTCTTACAAAAGAATATCTCGTAGAAAAATTCCTGGTTGTACACCTAGAGCTATGTGTTTGTGAGAAGTAACTTGTTAGGTAGACATCCCATGTTTTGAAACTACTAAGATATAAAAGCATTTATGTAGGATATGTCTTGCTATCTTCTACTCTGATTAGCTTATGAACAGGAAACACCATTAAGCTAAATATAAATGGTTATGAAGTAATGTTCTATGTTAACTGTTAATAATACATGTAAGTCAAAAGTGTTCTGTAGTGATCAGCTAGCTTAAAGCATTTTAATGTTCCTGTTGTTGCTGAATCGAAATGCTGTCTGAGTGTATTTATAAACCTAAACACTTGTTGGAAATAAATGTGAAGCAGCTACTGCTTGCCTGTATTTTTCTTCTCTGCCATTGACTACTTGTGCAGGAACTGTCTTCTAAATCCTGTAGTCCTTTTCTAAAGCAAAGTTCTACGAAATCTGTACACATGTGCTTGGTAAGAGGTATGCTGAGCTGTTTTCTCTCCTCTCTCAGGTGACTCTGGTCCTGGCTGCTTCCTTGCAGCAGCTTTTTTATCCTGAGTGTGTAGAATATAAAGGAGTAACGTGTTTGGTACTGGGAGTGCCATGGTCACAGGAAGGAAGTTCTATCAAAAGCTTAGGGCTTGAGGATGCAGTGTAGCAGGATATGAATAAGATTTTCTCTTAATACATGACATGTATTTCAAAGCACAGATTCTAAGAGGAGTGTTCAACATATTAGGAAATGCAAGCAGTTCATATGTAGCCTGTTTCCCTGCTGCAGGGATAACAGGGATAGTCTATTGTGGAGAAGGGACAATGTAACCATGGAGACCCAGCAGAGTAGAGGGCTATTTCATAGAGTGAATGTAATGCTTAATTTAAAGTTGGCAGTTTGGGCATTGTTGCATGTGACACTAAGACTACTTAATGTGCTTTACCCAATTCTGAATTTTCATATGCTGACCTACAGTAGCTGCTCCTAAAATTAGTCTCTCCCCCCAGGATCTTAAGAATCCATTTAATAAATTTACACTCCACCTTTCTCCCCAATGAGGACCCAAAGCAGTTTATGTCAGTCTCCTCTCCTCCACTTAATCTGCACAATCAACCCTGTGCGGTAGGTTAGGCAGACAGTGTGACTGGCCCTAGGTCACTCAGCAGGCTTTCATGGCATGCATAGGCATAAAGTTCGTGCGGGCGGCGGGGTATCAGCCTCCCCCGGGGGCAACTGGTTCCAGCCACCCTTGCTCCCCCCACCCCATTCTGAAACTATGTTCAGCAGCTGGGTTGGGACAGGGAGGGAAGTTAGGGCGAGGGCTTGCTTCCTCTTGGAAGTGAAGCCCCACCCTCAGCTCCCAGCAGCCCTTAGTTCTGCTGGGCTGCACGTGGAGTCTGGCTTTCCTGGTTTCCTGCGCGTGCGCACAAAGGTAGGAAGCATGCTTGCCCGGGCTCTCCCTTACTGCTGAGTCCTCAAGGCACATTCGTTCAGCCCACCTCTCTGCCCCCCTCACCCAGCTGCCAGTAAAATCAGCACGGACCGGGAGGGGAACTTGGCCCAGCGGAGTTGCCCTGCCAAAGGGAGCGCCGAAGCTCAGGGGCTGCGGTCCGTCCCACATCCCGGACGGCCTCCACAGCACCTCCTCCACTTCTTGTGCCCGGCTGCTGCCTTCCTCTGATTCCCCTTCACTGCTGCTCTTGCTTTGTAAGGGCATGGGTGGGGTGGGGGCCTGAGAGAGGGCACTGTTCAATGAGCCTGAGGCTGAGTAGTCCGAAGGAAAACTGCCTTTGTTCTCTTTGGAATACCCTTCCTGTCCTCTCCACCCATCTGTTGTGCTGCTTTTATTCTCTCTCTCGCCCTGTTTTTAACCCCCCCCCCTTCAGTTGTACTTCAGTTTCGTCTGAGTGTGTGAGTGCCCCCC